GTGATTGGCATCTCTGTCATTCTCAGCACAAAGGTCAAGGGCTGAGAGAGCTTTGAAGATTGAGCTCCCTCCCTAAGAGCAGAAGTGGTACCCCTGCATCAGGATGAAGACACGTTAGCACAGGGGTGGGCAAAATGCAGTCCGGAGGCCAGATGCGGCCTGCCAGGCCACTCTATCTGGCCCGTGAGGCCCCTAAAAAATTTAGAAAATTAATATTAATCTGCCCTGGGCTGCCTGTCATGTGGCCCTTGATGGCTTACCAAAACTCAGTAAGCTGCTCTCTACCCAAAATAATTGCCCCGCCCCTGCATTAGCAGGACACGGTGGGAAAGTCTGCATTGTCACAGCCTTTGCTGCAGATGCCCTTTGGTCAGCTAGTGACCACTTTCTCCACATCTGCCCATCCAGTGCTATCTGCCATCACTGAATTGACTTCTAAGAAAAAAGGAAAGTGTCTTCTAACTGTAACCTGAGTGCACCCAAGTACTCTGCTCCCCTCTCCAGATAGAAGGGATGGGGGGCAGGCAAGAGTGCAGCGAGAGGGATCTGCAATATCCAGGCCAGATCCCTCTACTCCCTATAGACTCAGGCCAGGACAAGAGATACTTAAGTATGTACAGATTTATTAATATATACAAGAATTAAGAGAATTGCTTTTAACAAACATATATACATATATGTGTGTGTCTGTGTGTGTGTTTATTAAAAACATATATATATGTTTATACAGATATACAAATAATAAACAGATTATACAGATAAATATTAACATTTCAATTATGCAGATATATATTAATAAAGTATACAGATATATATTAAAAACCATATACAATTATCATATAATACTATGTCCTATAGATAAAGGCTGAAAGATTGCACCCTTCCAGGTAGCCCCAAACAATGTGAATAGTGGATTTAGAATAGGCAAATAACAGGTAAATATAGGTGAGCATGTATAAATACAATTAAACAGCAGTCAAAACACAAATATACATGGATAAGTATATATAACCATCAGGGAAGGGGTCCCAACAGTGTCCCCTAAGGAGTTTAAACTTAAGACTCTAGTAAACTACTAATATACGAAGTTAAAATGTCCACAGAATATAAGGCGCAGGCAGTGTCACAGACTAGGAGGCACTGTCCCACAAAATATAAGGCACCTCAACAACCAATTAGCGCAAGCTTCCCTGGGGATAAACTGCCATACAGCCGGGGTAGCTCCCCTTCCCTGTGGCAATCCCTTCCCAAACAAGTCAGGACTCCAGGACCTGGATGGGTGGTCCTCACTCCCTGGGCCGAGTTGCTACTCACAGGCGTGGCCTCCCAGGCCACTGGCTCCCCTTGGGCTGCCACTCGCAGGTGGCCCTGTGCACCATCACGTGCACTGAGGGCTGTGCCTTCTGCTGGGGGTTGGGGGCCTGGGCCACCTCGTGCAGCGCCGGGGCCCAATCCGTCTCCCAGATCCTCCATGCAGTGTCGCCTGCACTGAGTTCGCTGGCCGCTTGCTAGGGAATCACAGACCTGAGCCACCTCGTGCATCTCCTAGGGTCTGGGCTCCCTGCACTGGTGCATGCATCGAGGTCCCAGCCGCTCGCCAGGGGGTTTCAGACCAGAGCTGCCTCGTGCAGCTCCCAGGGTCTGGGCTCCATGCACGGAGCCATGCACCGACACCATGTTCCCCACGGTGCAGCTGAGGACGCAATCACTCGCCACTCCTACTCATGAAGAGGCATCTTTGGGCTCCTCAGGGTGCTGGTTCTGCCCACTGGCCAGCTCACACCAGCTCTTCTTAGTCCATCCTCTTCTCCGTCCCTTGACACATCTCTTGTGCTGGGCACACAACTCCTTTTATTCACTCTGGAGGCTCTGCCCCGGGGTGTTGGCAGACCTGCAAAGAGTAGGCTACAACCAGGTCCGGGGTTCTCCTCTCCCCTTCCCCGCTGGCAGGGGTGGGGCAAGCCAGCATTACCTTCCCAGCATTACCTGATTGGTGGACAGGCTCCACCAATCACAGTAAAGATTCTCCAAGCCCGGGCTGCTGGGCTGTATCAGTAAGTCCGCCACATAACAGCATACGGCTAATAACCGGTCTTACCACTGTGCAGAACCATAGAGCTTGTCATGGGTACAAGATCTTACTTAGCTGGGAGTACATGATATAATTTATAGACAGGTGATCAACATAGTTACCCTACTTGCAAGATGCCAAATTTAGTAATGTTTTCCCCGTATTATTTTAATATACTGATGCAAGTTGCTGTGGCAAGGATTTTATATTTCTACTCTGAATTTGGCACTGCATTAATTTTGCTGCAGAGATAAAAGGGAAAGACATTTGGCTTCCTAAGCAGATAAGCAGCAGAATGGCCAGTGTGATGGACAGTGTTATGTACACTGGGAGGTGGCACTGGCAATTCTGCAACGTCAGCTGAAGAAATGCAGAGCAATTCTTCCGTGTTACTTGACTTGACCCCTGGCTAATTGCAAAGCCTGCCTTCACAATCCAGCCATTCTAAGCCCTTGCAGCTCTGGTTTATATCTGCAATAGAAAAAAGAAGTGGTGAGATGGTACAGCATCCAAACTGGAGGTTTGCAGCTGTAAAATTCAGACTCTGGATTGTCTAGTGAGCAAATACTAACATTAAATCTGCCTAAACACTTATTTTTATCAACATTGCATAATTAATTCTAACATCCTTTTCCTCAAAGCCATGCACCTCTGTGCAAACAGTCTGTACAAGTCATAGTTCTTATAGTAAATACAATAACTTATTCAATGAGTTTTTTATATACAAATACATGCATTAATATTAACCTGGAGTTTAACACCTTTACTTATTCTGAGCAGCCGCATCTACACATGTGGCAGACTATGCAATTGTTACTGCGCAGTTGTTTAGTACTCACATTAGCATTATTGTGCACTGCTGGCATTACTGCGCAGTACCATCGCTGCACATTTTTTCCCAATGCTTCTGCACTGTAGCAACGAGCTACAGTACAGTATCTCATTGCTACTGCACCATGATGACTCGTGTAGACACACCCAGTATCACATTATTGTGCCATTAATCTTAGTGTTACTACTTCACAGAGTAAGGTTCTACTCTAAGTGAAGACCCCCCATTGATTTCAATAGGCCATAATATTTCACTGGATAAATATAAAGGTAGATATGGGTTTTCCAAATGATGATCACAAGTACTAAGGTCAAGGTCCAGGGACAGATCTAAGGGGTGCAACTGTACTTCCCTTCAACTGGACTGCAAATGTGCAGTCAGCTCTCTAAGTTCACCAGCTTCTCAGTGCGGTTTCTGCTGGAACCACTGCTTCAGTATGGCTCCAGAAACATAGAGAAAAACACTGCTACTAATCATTCCCTTCTCTACCTTTCCCCCTACCTTCCCATTAAAACAGAGCCACTACAGAGTGGGCGCCCCAGGGAACATGATGTGCCACCATAGCTAATCCCTGTTCTGCTCCACTAAAATGAATAGCTAATGTTTTGAATAGCCAGTTACCGCAGACATTTTAACTACCAATGGCACAGTTTTCAGGACTGAGCACTGATTTGGGGTGACTTCCACTTGGTCTCTCAGAAACAGGCACCCTAAAACTTAAGGAACCCCCAAATCCCTGGCCAGCTAAGTGTGGGATGACTCTACACCATCCCAAGTGTGGGATGACTCTACGCTATCAAAGCTGTTTCCACCACATCTCCCCAAGTCCCTAAAGAAGCAGTAGACTTCCTTGATGTTAGACCATGTCCTCTAAAGCACTCAGGGACATACAGAATAAAAAGCGGGAAGCTGGTGAAATAATCATTGGCCAAGAGAAAAGGAAAAAAACTGAAGCAAGCAGCCAAGAGAACATTGTCCGTTCCGTATTTCATGGTGCTATTGTTTTCACAGTACAGTGCTTCCTTTAAAAATTGTTTCTTTCCATTATGCATCAACAGAGAAGCTAAAAAGCATTCTTACTGGCAAAGTGTCTCTATGGTGCACTTAGAAAGCAGCTAAAGCTCTTTGAATGGGAAAGAAGCAAGCACAAAATCAGTCCTGCAGTTACAGCGCTTCTCTGTAAGCAACCTTAGGTCAAGCTGTAATGGTGGCATGCCCTGTAGCTCCAGAGCACAAAAACAGCTCAGCAAAGTATTAAATAATACCCAAAAAAGGGTACCGTTGTTTTCTCTGAATCATTTAAAAACTTGAATGATTTACCTGTTACTGACTTGTACTCGCTAGTTGTCACACAGTGGTGAAAGTAACCATGTGCTCTTGTCATTGCTCCTCTGGTCTTCCTTCTCTTCTCCTCCACTTGTCTGTGTTCATGTCTATGTCTTGTCTTATTTAGATGAGAAGCTCTTTGGAACAGGGATATTATATTAGCACTAGTGTATGGTTTTCGAATCAGGTGTGAGATGGGCTTCAAGAGATAAATGTGAGATAATGCTCACCCACTTAGATGCAATGCTGTGAAAATCAATTCAGGTTCAAAGCTCTCTGAGATGCCTTGGTAAAGGGCTCCATAGAATAAAGTTAGAGTATATACCAGAGACTCTACTGTTACCCTAGGAAGAAGTTTTGAATTGTAGCAATTACTCCAGAGGAACACATTTGTGGCATAGAAATAATCTGTTTGGGGAAATAACATATCATGAAATAAAAAAGAAATCTCTGTTCTTTTGTATTATAAATGGGGATGCACTACATTCTCAGTGCGTCGCTATTCAATACCTTATTTAGCTTTGAACAACTAGTACAAGAAAATAGTTTGGAGCTTTTGTTCAGGGTAATAGTGAACAAGAGACAATCCAGAACTCAACAAGAAACCAGTAAATAAAAACTGGATATCTACAGTAATTGCCACACCAGGATACATGAGCCACTGAAGTCAGAAACCACATCCAATGGTATTCACAGTGGGATATTAAAGCTCTTCTTTTTATTGTCTGTAGCTGACAAAATTATTCTTCAGAAAGACCTTCCCATTGCAGCTCATGATGTTTTTATTCTTCGTAGCGGTGAAGGAATAAGCAAGGTCTGACGCAGTGGTGGAGCAGGTTTCCATCTGTCTAGATTTTTCACCTCATTCCTTTCCCTTGCTAATTCCTTCTGTTTCTCCTTCACATGATAGGGAACACTGAGGACAAGAGAAAGCAAGTGAGGTAATTGCAAGGTCTCTTTGTACAAGTGGCATGACTTTCCAGATCGCACCATCTAACAAAGTTGGAACATTTTAACCTCTCCAAATACAGATCTGTGTGAAAGATCCAACTAAAGCGTTCCTTTTACTAGGATGGCTTCTAAAAAAATACGAAGTCTATTATCTGTTGAATGCTATTCATGATTTGGTAAAATATGAATTTAACACTTTTTCTCCCATGTATCTCAAGGCACATAAGTGACAAACACCAGAGACTCCCCAATCCCTGTGCCTGTAGAAGGGTGACTGCACCCAAAAGCTTGCTAAGAACTTTTTTCCAACTACTCAGTTGGTCTTAATAAAAGATATCACATCTATCCAAAGACGCTTGCCTGACAAACCAGATCCCCAGCTGCTGTGAAGTGGCACAGCTCTATTGGTTTAATTTGTTACTCTTTTTGAAAGAAGATCAACCAAATTATGCCAGCCGACAGGTGAAAGGGATCATTTCAACCCACATTGTAAAGTTATAAATTATAAAAATAGGTTCTTTATAATGGGAAGTGTCATACATCCTTAACCAGCCTCAGTACCACTAGCTCGAATCAGGTACCTCTAGTATCAGGTACCTCTAGTATCTCAGATATTGCCATATAACTTTGGAAATGTCTCTTCCCCAAGGGGCAGACATTCAGGTCCATTGAAAATATATTTCCATTGACTTCAGTGGATTTATGTTGTTCTACAACTGAGGACGTAGCCTGGAGCATCTTGGAAGCTCCTGTGTAAACAAGATCTCTAAGAAACCTGCTTCATCAATTATTAAAAATGGACTAGGTGATGTCAAAACAGAGGGGTGTTTATTTAACCAGAAAAAAAGGACTCCTCCTCAAAGGAGTTTCCTTCTGGTTTGGGACTGAGCAAAGTAAAAATAGGGAAAAAAACACAACTGAAAGGCATATAGGGCGCGTCCAGATGAGTGAGCATGTGCCTCTTGCCCTGCCTCAAACCCCTTTGAGACGGGACAACAGGCATGAAAAAATGTTCCCCACGCTACAAGTTTGCAGCGCGGGGAGAAAATTAGACCCCTGGAAAAAAATTGAAGTTTAAAAAAATGGACCAGGGCACGGTCCCGGACCATGTCCTGAGGCAACCAGAGGCTGGGTCCTCCACGGAGACGCTCTGGCTGCCAGAGCATCTCTATGGTTGGCCCTGGTGCTGAACACGCGGCCAGCCAGGCCATGTGTTCAGCACCAGGGTGCCAGTGCCGGCGAGTAAGGGGCCAGGGGGGGCTGGAAGAGGGGGAAGAGGACCATGGGGCGGACCCCTGCTGGCCCCACCCATTCCC